TCACCTCTACCGAAATTCGACTGCTATGAGCGCAGTGTATACAATAAGAAATCAGCTCAGAAAAACGACATTTCGCAGGCTTTTCGTTTGTGACTACAACATATATATATAGTGCAGCGTTACTAGTGTAGAAGCAAAAGGCTTCTGCTCCGTAGCTATGTACCGGCAAGATGCAGCTGTTATATACCTAATAACGGCTCGTAAAAGGTCAGCACTTAAATAAAAAATAAATCTTGCGCCATGTACGGCAAATCCGTGACGTCATTATCACTTCCGGTTAAGACGTCATGTTTTTTGTTTTTTTGTTTGTTGTTTGTTGTCCCCTCCTCTCGTAGATGGTGACGCTGGCAACAAGCCGCCGACTTCTGGATCCATGAATGGACTTCTGTGAAAATCATGCCAAGGTCTGGAAATCACGCCAAAGAAATCACGCCATAGGTCACGAAGGCTTGGGCGAAAAGTGGTTCAGACGCTATTTCCAGCGGAGTCAGCATAGGGACTTATGGGAGCTGCGATTGAAGCGCGACTTTGTGTGGAGGAAACAAACACTAATAGTGAAAAAATAACAAGTTTGATTAAAAGTCAAAGCAATAAAAAGGATTTACAAATGAGATTCATTTTCCCCAGCAATAGTATGCAGATGTAATAAACAGAGAACTTATGACGGTTTTTAATATTATGAAAAATATTTTTTCTAGCGCCCTCTGCCCCCGCTATTAGTACTCAGTTCAGCTCTTGCACTACATGGGTATACATGTCAAGGCCCGCTAGTAACATTCGTATGCGAAGAGATACCCCCTCAAGTGTTTTAGTGTTCTTCGCTTGCTTGCGTTCTCGGTTGGGCGCGAAATTATTATTAGGTGTGTTTTATCGTCGGTGAACGGCTTCAGTGTACTGTCTAACGGGCAGCGGAACGATGCAAATTATGTTTAACGTCAAGCGCTTTCGCCAGTACCTGCGGAAACGATGTGATGTGCAAGGATGCACTAGCACCAAACTTGTGCCTGGTGACCTATGCCTTCTAGATAATAAACCAGGACAATGGTTCAGTATGCACTACTCACTGGACATTCATCAATGAGAATTTCTGCAGCCTGGTTTCCTTTTTGAGCATGAAGAGCCTTCTATTCGAGTTATCGGTGAGCAGATTTCCAAGTTATTTATCACGGTAAATGCGCATATCTTCATTTGTACACGAAGCGGTAATTTATCGGAGCATATAATGCAAAAGAAGAAAAAGATTAGTCAGGGAGTGTGCGCAGATTTTTTTGTAGGTAATAAACTTTATTAGGGGTCCAATGAGGAATCACTGGACCAAACTAGGCCTTCTTATTACCATTTTGTGCTGTATAATAAATTTGAGTTATTCTGACCATTGAATAAAAGTAAAATATCATTTTGGCATGACTAGACCTCATCTGTTCCTGTTCAAACACAAAATCACAAGCATTGCGCATGCTAAAGAACCTGCGTATGTGTGAAACAAATAAGCCATGCTGCAGATATCGCATGTATTCGCTGCTACGCTGTTGGTTGTCTTAATACATAAGCGGAAGCTGCCACGAATGGCAAATAAAAGTTAGAAGATTAAGTTTTCTTGTAAAACCGAAGCAAAGTGAACGGTAATACACTTAAACGTCACTATTCAGTCATGAGTCCGAATTAGATTAGCTAGAATTGACCTGAAGTTCAGTCATGGATGACTCGCCGGCGATCACATTAGCGGGAGTCCTTAGTGATCAGGGGTCTAAGAAAAGTAATTTGAGATCAAATTTCGCGTTAGTTCCCACAAAATGACATCACTTGTTTACCAGCTATAGCGTAACATTCGCTTTATTTTTTGTTCCACCGGAAGTGTTCTCTTCTCCCGGAGATGACGCTGAGCCCCATGAGCAGCTCATCAGCTGCCATGTTCTGATCGTATTGGCTTCTATGGAGCCTTCGATACACTTTGTATATACCTTAGTTACCCTACCAGTTTACATATACCTTGGTCTAGCCAGCATGCGCTGCCCCCGCCTGGAGGCGCTTCTCGTCAACACCATCACTACACACGAGCCTTGTTACTGTCATCTACTGTGGCTGCGCCGCAGAAAACTTGGTTACTTAATTTAAGCCACTTTGATTGGCTACTTAGCAAGCGCATGTTCACTACAATTAATATTGCTCCTAAAAATGCTAGCCTTGCTTCGTAAAACATTCGAATATGTTTCTATCGCATTCAATGCTTCGCATTTTTGGCTGAACTGTGACTTTTATTAGATTGCGCTACAACATTAGAATAAAAGAAATGCTTAAGGCGACCTTTATGTTCCCTTTAGGTGTTTTTATGGTGCCAACCCCAAGCGTTTTCTGAACTTTTCGTGGACTTCAGTAAACTATAAATGTATACAAAAAAATTTTGCAGTGGGTATGCGCCACCTTGATACCACATACCCAGACGAAAACAGCCAGCCCCTTTTTACTTACACAAAATTGATGCAAGCCCTCTCAACAAGTTGAGCTGCGCGTAACTTGCAGTCAACTGCAGTATCACGTCGTCGTGCAGCCGGAGCGTATCTCAGAGGCTAATTGAAAAGGAGCGCGTGTTTGATAGCTGCTTCGTCAGGTGCCGCAACAATATCTGCTGTTTCCACGAAAGCATTATGTTTGTTTAGTTAACCCGCTCAATTATTTCCATTATTACTGCAACAGTTGAATGACCCTCAACTAAACTAATGCACCAATATCACATGTATTCTACACAGCTTTACGTGAAAACCATTACCTCCTTACAGATTAGTGCTGCTTGCGGTCATTGCAGCAGCGATGAAACTATAGAGCACGTTCTCTGTCACTGCCCTCGTTACAGCGTGCAAAGACGGCAACTAGCTGCTGCGTTAGCTCGCCTTGACGACAGACCTTTGTCTGAACAATCAGTGCTGGAAAGACGACATGATTTGTGTGCTCACAGAAAATCAGTGAAGGCCTTACTGAACTTTTTGCGTGGCAGCGGCCTATTGTATAGACTGTAGCACCCCAGCTTCCCCCCCCCCCTTTTTTTTTGCACGCGTCTATTTCCCTCTTCGCTTTCTTTCCAATGTTTCTTCCCCATTCACCATTCCCCTTTCCCTAGTGCGGGGTAGCAAACCGGATGCTCCATTTTCTGGTTAACCTCCCTGCCTTTCCCTCATTTTATTCTCTCTCTCTCTCTTTCTCTGGGGTTCAGTTTAATTAGAGCCAACGGCCAACGTGTGGTTCACTGGAGGCGAAATCTAATATGCGCCGTGAAAAAACATAATGTCACTAGGTGCCAGCGCTATAAAACAAGCTTACCACAATACGCAGCAAAGCATTACAAAGTGAAGTGTAAGTGCTTCTAAGCGCACTGCTCCTCGAGTGCGAGGTGTGTGCGCATGGCAACCATAAACCAACCTTTCCTAAAACGTACAGGACGCCAACGTTGCTTGGCAATGAGCCAATCAAATACGTGCACACTATCCGGAGCGAATATATCTGTGGTCAGACTGCATTATATCCGGTCCGGACAATGATTATACGTGGTCTGCATCCGTACTCACAAGCATTTCGTTATACATCTGTACGTGGCCTACTGATCATGGTCGCGTTTTCACCTACTCGAACGCATTGCCAAACGCAATGCCTAATATCTAAAGCCCGAGAACTTGCGTGAAACTACATCATATTAGCAGAAACAAACATTTGCAATTTGAGATTGTTTTAACTGCACCAAAAACACGGACAACCAAAAATGAAAAGACAGCATTGTACGCATTCCAAATAATTTCAAGGCAAACTTCCTCAAACTAGCCCACCTTGGTGCTCTACAAAACATCTGCAATGTCATTAGAAGATTTTTTGCAAACATCCTCTTCAAGCCCACCTCGTGCAAGAAGGGCGTCATAAAATATGAAATAACGCCAACTTCAGGTAGAATTGCATTGGTCTCCCTTTGCTTATTCGGACACTGTCAATGCTGCAATCCGTATAATGGGCATTCAGCAAACAAAAACACGATTTAAAGAGGGCCATTAACGTCTTGCAGTTACCGAAGCTCTGCATTTTTCAAAGTGCGTAGCGCAAATCTAAATTTATTTTGCCCCCCTGGCTCTTTTTTTCTTGTCAATACAGTGCTCGGTAGACGATAGTCTTCCTGTTAGGTTGCCGTTGAAATGCGGTCACCGTGACTGGATATCGAACGCTCGAATTTTCGCCTGCTCAGATGTGGAACGCTGTAATATAACAGATGTAAGGTGGCATCATACTTGTAGCTGGCCCCACCGCGGTGGTCTAGTGGCTAAGGTACTCGGCTGCTGACCCGCAGGTGGCGGGTTCCAATCCCGGCTGCGGTGGTTGCATTTCCGATGGAAGCGGAAATGTTGTAGGCCCATGTGCTGAGATTTGGGTTCACGTTAAAGAACCCCAGGAGGTCGAAATTTCCGGAGCCCTCCACTACGGCGTCTCTCATAATCATATGGTGGTTTTGGGACGTTAAACCCCACAAATCAATCAATCAATCATCAAAAACTTGTAGCTGTACCTCGTGGCTCTAGGTTTTTTTTGTAAGTAAGGTTTTGCTTACATTGTGGCTTTACGCTAGCCTCTTTTTCTATACTAGCTATCTCTAAGCGATTACGTGGTACTGTGCACAGTTTTATTTCACAGAAAGTGGATGCGCATAAAAGAAATTTACGGAACAGTCGTGACGGTTGGACCAGGCTGACAGCGGCACAGTGTGGGCTGACGCATGTTCGTAAGGTTAATTTATAGCTGATACAATATAATTATGACGACTGCTCTCACGTCAATATCAGCACAAAAGGATCACTGACCTACTGAAACATTGACGGGAGCATAATTTCGTCTGAGACGTCCGTAATGATTGAGACGCACAAAGTAAGAGCGGAACAGAAACAATGAGCATTGAAGAGCACAAAGTGCACAAGTTGTCGTACTCGCCGATGTGCAAGCGATCTAGAATTCAAAAACAGGCCACTTACTGGAACGCTGGTTCTTGATAAAGTAGAGGTGAAGTCGCTCCTTTAACGTGTTCTCGTTCACATAGAACTCCACCCGAACCCTGCGAAAGAAACAAATATGAAGATTCCCTGTTAGTGAAGGGAGGTATAGGATACACAGTTTCATATTGAATCGCAGAAAAGACAAAAAGAAAATTGAGAACGTATGAGCCCGCAGACGCATACACACGAACACACATGGAACCAAGATACATGCCTATAGGGCCGTATATACGTGTTCATGCAAGCATTGTTTGTGTCACAAACTGTAAGAAATGCTACGTTTATTAGCTGGAGGGGAATTCACAAGGCTGTTGACAGTTCTCCTTGAGTCTTGGAGACATTGCTCGTGGAGTTGCGAAGCTGCACCCTGAGCACACGCAGAGCTGTGTATGGTAGTTCAAACATAACTACTGTTCTCACATTACGTATTCGTGCGCATTACGCCTCTATTGAGCCACTTTTTCACTAAAAGTGCGGGCGTACTTATTGTCACGTTTATCTGGCATAATGGACACTGCACGCTGATGGTGAAGCGAACCATTTTCTCATATTTTCTGGGCTCGATAAACGGCTGGGAACTGCGTTTTATTTGTGATCATATTTTTACACAATGTAACAGCCATGATTTTAATAGCGACGCAGGAACCTCTATAGGGGTACAGGCTCTTGTCGTCCACACGACGCAAAGAAGGAAAGAAAAAAAAACTGAATTACGCAAGACGCTCCAATAGACAGACTACGGGCACAAAACTTTCCAAAACTTACGCGAACGAAATAAGAAACGCAGATTTCAGAGCATACAATAAGACGTACGCAGTTTTCGAAACGTTGAGTTCAGAGATCATAATATTGATTGATTGATATGTAGGGTTTAACGTCCCGAAACCACCATATGATTATGAAAGACGCCGTAGCGGAGGACTCCGCCAATTTCGACTACCTGGGGTTTCTTTAACGTGCACCCAAATCTGAGTACACGGGCCTTCAACATTTCCGCCTCCATCGGAAATGAAGCCGCCGCAGCCGGGATTCGAGCCTACGACCTGCGAGTCAGCAGTCGAGTACCTTAGCCACTAGACCACCCCGGCGGAGCGGAGATCATAATATTGTACCGCTAAGACAACACAGCGTCTCTGTTGTATGAACTTCAAGAGAACAAGTCATATTGGAGTTCTGTGGTTTTGTGTACCAAAGCGAACCAGGATTTCAAAATGAAGCCCGGCCTACTCTAGAGCGCTGGATTTCTTTTTTCATACCAGAGTTTCCATTCACTTTCTCATGTGAGTATCTGTCTCGACCTTATTTACCTCTTCATTTCTATATTTTTTCCGGTACGTATACGGTGGGCATGTTGAAGCAGGTGGGTTAGGTTGTCCTGGACGGCCAGCAATTGTTTCGCCTTTGAATCTTTTATGTATGTAAGTATGACTTCGTTTATGAAAACGTATATCAAACGCGCCTCCGAAAATTAGAACAAATAGTCCCTATCAACGACTACTCTGAAGCATTCAGGAACCAGGAACTTCTCGAAAGATCACATGTAGAACCCCCCCCCCCCCCCCCCCCCCCCATTTTTTTCTATGGGCCACAAAGTAGCGGTTTTCTCTTTGGACTATTATCACAACCACATAAAATGTGGGAGCACAGAAATGAAGTGGTTTTCTTTGCCTACGCGCAGGTTCTATACGGTGGCTGAGGTTCCTTATCGCGCCCACTGCATAGTGATCGACGATAGAAAGTATGGATGGAGCACGTAAGACAGAAATATGACAAGCTAGCGCGTCTTCACTAATACAAAATTTTTTCAGTCTGTAATTTTTTTTCCTGTTTATATTGTATACCCCACCCCTTATATAACACTCTTGCGGGGTCTTTAAGGTAAAATAAATGAAATCATATCAAATCAAATGAAGGGCTCTGTTAGTACCAGAAAAAAAAAAGACAGCCACAGATTACTCCACCTTAAAAATAATTAAAGCAACTTCATAATGCTGATGTCCCCCCCCCCCTCAAAAAAGGTGGTTTTATTTCAGCAATGAAGAAATTAAAATTAAAAAAAAGATTTTAAATAAGTGGCAATGATTTGACGAGGCCAAGAAACGTTTATTCATTTATTTATTGCAATGTCTACGACTAGGAACTGCCTTGAGGCTTATAAAAAAAGCGACAATGAACTCGGCGTTATGTTTACAGAGCATAAATAAAAACTGTAGATAAGAACCAAATATTCTACATTTAAATAAAACAAACACCGCCAAAATCTCACATTTCGATTTATGGGGTCCCCAGAAAAATCACGACATTCAGTGATTACAGAACAAAAACAGGTGTTCCAAAGCCTATTGTAATTCGTAAATCTGAAACAGCTAACAAGGTAAAAATAACAAACAAACAAAGAACAAACAAAACGAACGAATGTATACACAAGTTTCACGGTATGCTGATGGGCGCAGTAAAAGTGAGGTTATAAAAAATGTATCACTGGAACTAAATTTAAAAAAAATTAGGAGCCCTTGCCATATCGGGATAATCACGGCGAGAAAAGATAGGCATGCGTGGCTGACGTCCTACTCTTTCTTCCTTTCCTTCTTTCTGCTTTCTCCCTTTGTTCCCTCCTGTTTTTCTTTCTTTCTTACTTCCTTTCTCTCTCTCACTTTCTTTCATTTTTCTCTCTTTCTCACTGCGCAATGCTCCGTCCCGTTTCCTTCTTCCATGTCGGTAAGTGAAACTTCTTCCACGTACTCAGGAGCACAACTTTTCTTTTGCTACAGGCAACAATAAAGTGTGACATCGTGATACGATAATCCACCAATATATAGAAATATCATATTGCCACATAGGAAACGTCTGATAACTGGCAAACCTATGGTCAAGATCAATAAATCGAAAACAACGCATGCAAATACGCATGGGACCAGACCACCTTCGAGAGCCGCATTTTGTCGCGCTCGCCAGCTACGGGTTTGTCGTGTACGACGCCGCTACAGAAATCTGAAACTTGAAAAAGTTCACTCAAAACTGCCAGCAAGATGAACCACAGAGGAAATACCGAAGGCGCTCGTGTAGTTGGAAAGATGGGAATGAGAAGCACAAGAAAACTTGATTGAAAGCTATTAGGAAGTGACGGTAAAACGCCGTCCTATAGCATTGCTTGAAAAAACAACATTTTGGAATGCGCAAAAGGACAGCAAATCAATACAGAGGAAGCGAGATACGTTCGGTCTCAAGATATAAATTTATGAAGAAGCGGGTGAAGGAGCCTATTTATGAGAAAAATACAATGCCATCAGGTGATCGCCATTTTGTATCTTTCCTTTTCTCTGCTTCTCCTTCTTCATCTTTCATTTCTATTCCTCTGGATCTGTTTTTCGTTCTTTCGCCCATCGCAATAATATGGTTGCAACGCTCGGCATCGGATCATGGGTTTGCTTGGTTTAAATTATTTTTCTCCTCATCCTCTCCACTTTTAAACACTGCTCCTCTTTTACTTTCTCCTCTCCACTTCACCGAACACAACTTTCGCTAAACACTCGTCTCTCTACTCTTTCCCGGCTATTTGCTTCAGCTCAAGAGTTCTTGTTTCACTAGCCTTTATTGTGCCACTATTCCTCAAGAGTAAGGTATACAACAGCTGCATCTTAGCGCTACTTATTTATGGAGCAGAAACCTGGCGGATTACCAAGAGGGTTCAACTTAAGTTGAGGAGGACGCAGCGAGCGATGGAAAGAAAAATGATGGGTGTAAACCCAGCGAACAAAATAAGAGCACAGTGTATCTGGGAACAAACAGGTGTTAAGGACATCATATATAGTCGAAATCAAGAAGTAACGGTCATGGGCTGGGCACGTAGGGCGAAGGCATGATAAGCGCTGGTCATTAGGAATCACGGTTTTGTGAACGGTGCATGTTTCTCCTTTCGTCGACGGAGACTCGGCAACAAAGCCTTGTCCTGCTACGACACTTCAGTGGGCCCGTTCGGGGAAAGAGAGGTGCCTATGGGGTAAGAAGGTGCTGCTCCGGGGGGACAAGCGGCGGCGGAGTAGAAAGTCGGTCGTAAAGACGCATGGACGGTCGCTCAGATGTTTTGCTGGTAATGTTCGGAAGTGATTTTTTAGTGCCTGTAAATAGCGTAAATAAATCTAGTGTACTGTTATGAAATTGTGCCTTTCCTGATCGGAATATTATACAAGGAATTCACCATAGCAGAATAGTTTCCAAGAGAAGGAAACCGGGTAAAGAGGAAACAGAAATTTAGGTGGGCAGATGGGAATGAAAAGATTGCAGATATAAAGTGGCAACAAAGAGACCTTTGTCCTGCAGAGGGGGGTAGTCAGGCAGATGATGATGATGATGACTCTTTGCCACCCCTGGCTACTACCGTCTTCTCCACCACTCTCCATCACCTCGCCGCGGTGGTCTAAGGGCTAAGGCACTCATCTGCTGATGCGCAGGCCACGGGATTAAATTCCGGCTGCGGCGGCTGCCTTTTCGATGTAGGCGAAAATGCTGTAGGCCTGTGTGCTCAGACTTGGGTGCACGTTAAAGAACTCCGGGTGGTCGAAATTTCCGGAGCCCTCCGCTACGGCGTCCCTCATAAACATATGGTGGTTTTGGGACGTTAAACATGACATATCAATCCATCAACCACTCTTCATCACTCTCCTCCGGTCCTACTTTCAATGTCTTCGCTTTTCGTCACACCTGCTGCGCTCGATGGTGGGGCTTGTCCAATTCTTGTGAGGCATACCCTCCCGACTTTTTGCGAATGCCTTGCGGGGTATGGGTTGGCTTAAATATTTCAGCTGTTTAAAGATGATAGCAGAGGAGAGAATGACAAAAGGAATGCGTAAACGCAGATAACAAAATTCCCGGACGTCATGCATTTTTAATAGAGCACAAAAATATAAGTCTTGCTTTCACGGTGAACAAATAGTGTCAACGGCGATGTTTCAATGGCAACTGCGCGAACACTGCAGTCTCAATGCACTCTAGTTAGAGGTTTTATTCCTATAAATAAAACAAACAACATGACACAGTGAGTGGTGGATGTCCAATACGCGGCTATACAGACGTGTCACGTCGTGTTCTTACTGTTACATAAGATTTCATGAAGGCTACTCCCAACCAGAAATGAGGAGCATCGCGTCGTTGTTGTTGCAGGATTTAGTTGGAAGTTATAGGGAGAAGTTTATACAGAGTCGTCTCGCGCGTTTGATATTTGCAGTGTGCTCCACCCGGGCTTGAGAGAGCGTGCGTGCCAGACGATAAGGCATGCCTCACAAGGTCTGTTCCTATAAAAGCGGAGTCAAGAAACGTAGTGGCCATTTTCCCTTGAACCATTTAAATAAGTCTGACATACCCGCACCGATGGAACCGTAGAAGTTGTCATGTTCATTTAATTATAA